CAGAAACATTTAGGTGGGGTTAGTGGATCATGTGAACATCATGTGCTGGAGACACCCCGCCTGCAAGGCAACAAGGTGCCTCCGAGAGGCAGTACAGCAACATAGGTCAACATCCCCTTGGATCTGTGTGGCATCTCTTCCAGGCACCTCCGTGCCCCTCTGTGGTGAGATGTTAACTACCTCATCTGATATGCAGGCGGTCATGGGTTCAATCCAGACCCTGGCGCCTGTATATTTTGAGTTTGCATGTCTCTCTCTCTCCCCGTTGCCGCGTGGATTTTTCTCCGGGTCCTCCTGTTTTTCCCTCCACATTTAAAATTAACGTGCGTACAGAGCAGCCGATCTGGTTTACATTCCCATGTAATAAGCCACTTCGTTGAGATATCGTTTGTGGCCAGGTCGCGTCTGAAAAAGAGCTATATAGCTCAGTGGGCCTTACCTTGTAAAATGAAAGTAATTTAGTTTAAAAGTACTCCAGAAATTAATCGGACGAACAACTGCCGCTTAGCGAAAGAGTCGTGAGACTGAGTGAGGATTTTTTTTCTTCTGGCTAGATAAAAGGGACTCACAATTACCATAAATAGTTTGGTGTCATCCAACAGGGTCTGTCTGCGGGGTGGGGGGGGGGGCTTTATAGAGAAATTACGAGTGCATTAGCCCGAGTGCGATGCATTTGGTCACGATAACATCTACAAAGTAATACCTGTGTGTATAATAATAATAACATGAGCAACCTATCATTATTTGTCTATTCACAGCAATTACGTTTTTAATGTAAAAAAAAAAATCTGCCTTGCTTGGCTTGAGCTGCGGAAAGTGTGCGATGGCGGCAGTTGTGGCTGCCCAGCGGCAATGCGCGTGCCCTTGGTTGGGCCGTGCGTTCGTTACGTTCTCTTTTGAAAGTCTGATGTCATTCTTAAACAGGAGCCAAGCCGGGGCAGGCAGCAAAGCGCAGCCTGCATTTTTGGCCCCTTTCCTTTTCGAAACCCTTGAGCCACCACCGGCACTTCCTGCGGGCATCGCCCGCGTCGCGTCGGCGGCTGCTGCACCGCCGCCGACGCCGCTGCCGGTGGGGCGTGGTGGAAGCGCCGTGGTCCTGTCGATTCCGAGGGAGAACGCCATTGTTTAGAGTGGTCTGAAGACGAAACAATTCAAAGTTAAACGGTTTTAGGAGTACGTTTTACCCTTTTAACTGGCACAAAAACTGACACCTTTATTCAAGGCATCATATTTGCAATAACCACAACACAAGCAGTCAAAATGCAAACAAAAAAGACAACTCTGATAATAATATGCACTGTCCTTGAATTTGATTGGTCCACACCCGAGGCAGCTTTTCTTAGAGCCTAGTCTCCATTGGTGTTGGACCAGAAGACGCCAAAAGGCGTACAACTCAAAAACAGCGCACTATCAGAGTATTGAGGGCTCGGGGTGAGCATTTACATTATGAGACCTCCTTTTCCAGTAACAAGATATAGGAATAGGTTTTACCCTTTTAACTGGCACAAAAACTGACACCTTTATTCAAGGCATCATGTTTGCACTGAGCTATGTAGTTATTTTTCAGAGGCGACCTGGTTATCACAAATGATAGCTCAATGAAGTGGCTCATCGAGTGAAAATGTATAGCAGCAGCCGAGTTCTCTGAACGCGTGATGTTGATTCTAAATGTGGAGGGAAAAACTGGAGGACACGGGGAAAAATCCACACGACCGCGGGGAGAGAGAGGCACGCACACTCCAAATATACAGCAGCAGGGTTGGGATCGAACCCACGACCTCCTGTATACCGGACGAGGTAGTTAACATCTCACCCCTGCGAACTGTGAGCGGCTGTGATTTGCGGCCTCATCGGGGTGTTGTGGTTCGGCTATGCGAAGGCGCAAGTGTCCACATACGCACGCGTTCACTTGTGAAACAGGTCACATTCTTGTCGAATTCTTGCTCACAACGCTGCTGATGGAAGGGCGTCCACTGTCATGGTTTATAGAGAGTCCTTGTAGATGGTATGTGACCTACTGTTGTAGGTGGTGTGTGACCTACTGTTGTAGGTGGTGTGTGACCTACTGTTGTAGGTGGTGTGTGACCTACTGTTGTAGGTGGTGTGTGACCTGCTGTTGTAGGTGGTGTGTGACCTACTGTTGTAGGTGGTGTGTGACCTACTGTTGTAGGTGGTGTGTGACCTACTGTTGTAGGTGGTGTGTGACCTACTGTTGTAGGTGGTGTGTGACCTACTGTTGTAGGTGGTGTGTGACCTACTGTTGTAGATGGTGTGTGACCTACTGTTGTAGGTGGTGTGTGACCTACTGTTGTAGATGGTGTGTGACCTACTGTTGTAGGTGGTGTGTGACCTACTGTTGTAGGTGGTGTGTGACCTACTGTTGTAGGTGGTGTGTGACCTACTGTTGTAGGTGGTGTGTGACTTACCGTTGTAGGTGGTGTGTGACCTACCGTTGTAGGTGGTGTGTGACCTACTGTTGTAGGTGGTGTGTGATCTACTGTTGTAGATGGTGTGTGATCTACTGTTGTAGGTGGTGTGTGACCTACTGTTGTGGATGGTGTGTGACCTACTGTTGTAGGTGGTGTGTGACCTACTGTTGTAGGTGGTGTGTGACCTACTGTTGTAGATGGTGTGTGACCTACTGTTGTAGATGGTGTGTGACCTACTGTTGTAGGTCGTGTGTGACCTACTGTTGTAGGTGGTGTGTGACCTACTGTTGTAGGTGGTGTGTGACCTACTGTTGTAGGTGGTGTGTGACCTACTGTTGTAGGTGGTGTGTGACCTACTGTTGTAGGTGGTGTGTGACCTACTGTTGTAGATGGTGTGTGACCTACTGTTGTAGGTGGTGTGTGACCTACTGTTGTAGGTGGTGTGTGACCTACTGTTGTAGGTGGTGTGTGACCTACTGTTGTAGGTGGTGTGTGACCTACTGTTGTAGGTGGTGTGTGACCTACTGTTGTAGGTGGTGTGTGACCTACTGTTGTAGGTGGTGTTAGACCTACTGTTGTAGATGCTGTGTGACCTACTGTTGTAGGTGGTGTGTGACCTACTGTTGTAGGTGGTGTGTGACCTACTGTTGTAGGTGGTGTGTGACCTACTGTTGTAGGTGGTGTGTGACCTACTGTTGTAGGTGGTGTGTGACCTACTGTTGTAGATGGTGTGTGACCTACTGTTGTAGATTGTGTGTGACCTACTGTTGTAGGTGGTGTGTGACCTACTGTTGTAGGTGGTATGTGATCTACTGCTGTAGATGGTGTGTGACCTACTGTTGTAGGTGGTGTGTGACCTACTGTTGTAGGTGGTGTGTGACCTACTGTTGTAGGTGGTGTGTGACCTACTTTTGTAGATGGTGTGTGACCTACTGTTGTAGGTGGTGTGTGACCTACTGTTGTAGGTGGTGTGTGACCTACTGTTGTAGGTGGTGTGTGACCTACTGTTGTAGGTGGTGTGTGACCTACTGTTGTAGGTGGTGTGTGACCTACTGTTGTAGGTGGTGTGTGACCTACTGTTGTAGGTGGTGTGTGACCTACTGTTGTAGGTGGTGTGTGACCTACTGTTTTAGACGGTGTTTGACCTACTGTTGTAGGTGGTGTGTGACCTACTGTTGTAGACGGTGTTTGACCTACTGTTGTAGATGGTGTGTGACCTACTGTTGTAGGTGGTGTGTGAACTACTGTTGTAGATGGTGTGTGACCTACTGTTGTAGGTGGTGTGTGACCTACTGTTGTAGATGGTGTGTGACCTACTGTTGTAGGTGGTGTGTGACCTGCTGTTGTAGATGGTGTGTGACCTACTGTTGTAGGTGGTGTGTGACCTACTGTTGTAGGTGGTGTGTGACCTACTGTTGTAGGTGGTGTGTGACCTACTGTTGTAGGTGGTGTGTGACCTACTGTTGTAGGTGCTGTGTGAACTACTGTTGTAGATGGTTTGTGACCTACTGTTGTAGGTGGTGTGTGATCTACTGTTGTAGGTGGTGTGTGACCTACTGTTGTAGGTGGTGTGTGACCTACTGTTGTAGGTGGTGTGTGACCTACTGTTGTAGGTGGTGTGTGACCTACTGTTGTCGATGGTGTGTGACCTACTGTTGTAGGTGGTGTGTGACTTACTCCTATTAGAACAGAGGACGCCAAAAGGCGTACAGCTCAAAGACAATGCCACTATCAGAGTAATGAGAGCTCGGTGTGAGTATCAAAAGAAAGCTGTCTCTGGTGTGGACCAATCAGTTTCACAGACAATGCATATATTATCAGAGTGTTTTTTGTTTGCATTTTGACCCACGAGTATTGTGGTTAATGCCGACATGATTCTTTGTTAAAGGTTTCAGTTTGGTGTTTTAACAACTTAACACCTGTTTCGTTGCCAGATAAAAGGGGGAAAAACATTCCCAACAATAAAATGTTAACATTAAAGTTAATTGCTGTCGTGGGATAATGGCTACCGTACTGGACCCACAATCCATTGGCATCCGGTTCTATCTCCCGGCGTGGCAGTTGAGATAACGGTGCAAGTTTCCGAAATCCCTCACTACCCCTCCCCCTTGCCCCCGCACCTCTGTCCACCCAAGCAGTGGAAATGGGTACACCACGTTTAGTTGACTGACAGGTTGTGTGCAGTGGGATAAAGTGTGTGGGTTACAGCCCACGTTTTCCCAGACGCAGGGCCAGCATGGAAGAGCAGCCCAAATACCCTCCAGTGTGGTTCTCCTGCACTCCCTCTAGTGGAAGCTTTTTTTCCCGTCAGCAGTGGCATGCGCGAGTATTTGCAGGGCCGCACCTTTACCCATGCAAGTAAAGTCGTTCAATACTAAAACGTATACAATGCGGTGCTTATTTCAGTTGGCCTCGAGTCCCTGTTGAACATTTCATAGGCCGACGCTGAGGGCACAGGACAATGTAAACTCTACTGCACTTATCCCCATCGTCACTGTTGGGAGGCAGCATCGCACGCTCTAGAATGTGATTGTTAATGCAAGCAATCGCTTTGTCGCTTTGTCTCCAAAGGCCGGCTGGTCCCTTCGGAGCGACGTTCACCGTGCGCCCGAAAACGAGCCAGCCCATCATGAAGATGCCGGGCGCCGCGGGCACAACAACACCAACAACAGACGACCACGAGGCCTCGTCCACCGTCGCGAGGACCCCGAGTTCACCGTCGCCAAACCCCCCGTCACGGCCGGACGTCGCCACTCCAACAACGCCGCCGGGTGCTGTCGGCAACTCGAACCTCGGTCTGGCTCCCAGCCAAAAACCGGGACCCAGCCCCCCGCAAACGCTGGCCCTGAACGCAAAGGCTGCGCCACACCCTAACCCGAACCACGGCGGCCACGTGGTCAACTCCAACCAGGTCCCGGCGGCGGCGGCCGCGGCGAATTCGAGCCTCAACTCGAATCCAGTGGCGAGCAAGACCCAGGGCGGGGGCGCCGCCGATGGCGGCGGCGGCGGCGGCGGCGGCGGCAAGCCATTTTCACAGAAGCCGATCGGCCTGTGGAGCAAATATGACGTGGCGGACTGGCTCGACAGCCTGAACCTCAGCGAGCACAAGGAGCGCTTTCTGGACAACGAGATCGAGGGCACGCACCTCCCCAACCTGGAGAAGGAGGACTTTGTGGAGCTGGGTGTAACGCGCGTCGGCCACCGCATGAACATCGAGCGAGCCCTGAGGCAGCTGCTGAGCAGATAATGACTTCCAGACGTCACAATTTTTTCCGTGTTTCTCTCGCTCACTTTCTCTCTCTCTCTCTCCTCCTCTCCCTCTCTCTATTGTCTCCCACTCGCACAGAAAATGTGGGTACTACCAATATCACCGCATACAGAAATACAAGAAAAATGTGTCGGGGGGGAAAAAAAAGTACAATACCAGGACGCAAAATATATATATATTTACAGCTGCAGCAACGGCAATGCAAAAAAAAAGTGTTTCTCTTGCTTTTTATTTGAATTTGTTTATAAAAAAAAAAAAACGGTACTCAGTTACACGTTACGACGAACAAGACCTACTTTTTTGCGTATAGAAATTTTTGAGGGAATGGAACGAAAGGCCTTAGCGAGGATGCCAGGTTATTTTTTAACATCCTGTATTCGGCCCTCGTCGCGTACGAGTTACGGAACCCCTCCCCCCCGGGGGGGGGGTCTCGTTCAAATGGACCTTTTTAGCACTACTTTGTATTGCATCAGAAGAAATGACCGTGTGTGGGGGGGGGGGGGGTGGGGGGGTGGAAGTTTTATCGGTTTGATCGCAGAGGTAGTCGAGCGTCGATGTGGGAAGGTTCATGGTGTCCACTGCGCGACACGTCCACACAGCCCCTTGCCCCCCTTACTCCCGATGAGAAAGACTCCGACACGAGTTCACTTTACCGTGCTTTCCTCTTCGATCTAAATTCTGGACAGGTCAACGCATGGGCAAGAAATGCAATACACGGCGGAGGCTCGCCGGAACGCCCCTTTGGATCATCTTTTTGTGACCATTAAAATGAAAGTGTTGATGCTTACACTGGACGGAAGCAATGTAAAGATCGTAATGTGTAAATGTTTTTTGAAAAAAATTATGGTAGTTTCCTTTTAATCACTGGATCTTTGCTTCATGCTTGACAGCTGAAATGTGTATTTTGTTTTTGCAGTGGATTTTGGGGGGGGGGGGGAGGGGAGATTATTCAGCCAGTTGTAAGACGGGACCCCCTCAGGAAATAATGGAACGTTCCACAGTTCCATGGCTTGGTGTAATAGGTTTTTTTGGAGTGATCCACATTGTGACGAGTCAGTGTATCTCTTAAATTTTGGGTGAATCGGTCTAAGTCTCAACCGAGTTGATCGATTCAGTTTTTGTTCCGTATTAATTTACAGGCGTCAATTTGTAAATGGTGTTAACGCACTGTTTAATAATCCGATGGTGGGGGGGGCTCTCCTACTATCCCCCCTTTTTGTTTAGCAAATATATATTTAAATAAAACAAATATTCGTAAAAAAAAATTCCTTGCTGAGAAGAATTAAAATATTCTATGAAAGAAAGAACTAGTTTATGTAATTTGCGTGATGGCACTGCAAAGTATAAATTAAGTGGGTGGTTTCTTATGGTTTTGTGGAATGATTGAGGTATATTGAGCTGTTCTCTTGAATGTGGGATAGCTTAGGAGTAAAATGGGTTATGAGTTCACGGACTTTTAAAACCATAACCCAGGGGTGTCATTAGGGTTTCTGATGCATATAAAGTTGCCAAATATTGTACAGTTTGAAAATACACTACGACACTTGACAGTGTTGTTTTTCATATGAACTTTGTATATTTACATATTATACTTGGGGTAGTCTATATCGAAAAAATATTAAAGTACACTTAGAAAGGTGAAGAATGTACCGAGATCATATATTATTCCGCATAGAGTTAATAATCTCAACATCATAAGTGTATTGATTAGCCCAACACCATAAGCGTGAGCATTAGTGGAGTGAAGCTTGCTACATCTTATTCAACAGCAAATACATTCATGATAATCAAACTTTTAAAACAAAATAACAAACAAAAAAGTTATCCTTGATAAAAACCGAGTTTTTTTTTTGAGGGGGGCGGGGGGACGTTTTTGCCATCATAACCAAAATAAATTTTAGCGCTTCTTGAAATCTCAACGAGAGCACGATTTGCAAAATGCTTTGCCATTGTTCAACGCGACGTTCTAACGGACGGTCGGATCACTCGGCCCGCTGCGCGTATAATCCTCTTGGCCCGCTCGTCCGCCCGGTCACGAACATTCACAGAGTCTCGTGGGCCCTCACGACTCGCTGTCACACGAAAGAGGTTTTGCGTTACTTCGCGCGCCATGGAAATACCGTCGCTTTTGTTTCTTGGGCGCGAAATATAATTTGCGTCCAAATGACGACATGACATATATAAATAAATATATCGTTTAAACATAGTTTATATCGAAACTACTTTTCGGTGTTTAAAGAAGGCAAAGGTGTATTTTGAGGCTCATTTTAGATTTATTTGTTTTTATGTTTCACCACGCGCAAGCGATGTCACGTGTGTTTTGGTCTTCCTGCTTGATGCGTAGCAATGTTTGTGTTGCGGATATTACTTTGCCTTCCATTTGTCACCTCGTTTGCTTGCTCTGCCAAGGGGCAACTTGCATTCGACAGCTGGATTTGTCAAGTGTGTAAGTAAACACTTGTACAGCATTAGCATTCTCCGTTCAAAGTTTCTCCCGCGCTCGAGCAAACAAGCGTCGAGAGTGGTGCTCGCCTCCCACCGATGGTCCGGAGCCGGTCATGAACATTCCACATCCCTGTGGAATGAGCCAGTCCCATCACAGAATGACCACGATTATACATTTATTTTAACGTCGTTATGAAGCCCAGCTCCTGGCGTCAACTGCAGAGTGAAGCGTGATTTCATGAAGATCGCTGCTGACAGCAGACATCCTACAAACCTGCCTGGTGTTCACCCAATACTCGCACACCACAGGGCCTCTACCTAATATCGACCTGAGGCCATTTTCAATTGGCTTTTTTTGCTTTGTCAGTGTTTCCCTGCTCGCGTGAGCAAATGAGTGGTGCTCATCTCCCCCGGTTGCCCTGCGGCCAATGGCGACATTTCTATATTACCATGATCGGGTCCAGTCCAGTCTACCCACAGGATAATTGTTATCGTTTATCGGCTCCCATAGAGATGATAGCCTGAACTTACTTTCAAATCAGCAGTTGCGTTTGACAACCCCTCCGATTGTGAATCGAGGCACCCTAACCACGGTGCCACCCAGCCAGATTGTTGAGTAGAGGCTACCCTTACCACGGTGCCACCCAGCCGAATTGTGAGTAGAGGCTACCCGCACACACGGTGCCACCCAGCCGAATTGTGAGTAGAGGCTACCCTCACCACGGTGCCACCCAGAGGCTACCCTAACCACGGTACCACCCAGCCAGATTGTGAATCGAGGCACCCTAACCACGGTGCCACCCAGCCAGATTGTTGAGTAGAGACCACCCTAACCACGGTGCCACCCAGCCGGATTGTGAGTAGAGGCTACCCTAACCACGGTGCAACCCAGAGGATTCCCTAACCACGGTACCACCCAGTCAGATTGTGAGCAGAGGCCACCCTAGCCACGGTGCCACCCAGCCAGATTGTGAGTAGAGGCCACCCTCACCACGGTGTCACCCAGCCAGATTGTGAGTAGAGGTCACCCTAAGCACGGTGCCCACCAGCCAGATTGTGAGTAGAGGTCACCCTAACCACGGTGCCACCCAGCCAGATTGTGAGTAGAGGCCACTCTAACCACGGTGCCACTCAGCCGGATTGTGAGTAGAGGTCACCCTAAGCACGGTGCCACCCAGCCAGATTGTGAGTAGAGGTCACCCTAAGCACGGTGCCACCCAGCCAGATTGTGAGTAGAGGCCACCCTAACCACGGTGCCACCCAGCCAGATTGTGAGTAGAGGCCACCCTAACCACGGTACCACCCAGCCGGATTGTGAGTAGAGGTCACCCTAAGCACGTTGCCACCCAGCCGGATTGTGAGTATAGACCACCCTCACCACGGTGCCACCCAGAGGCTACCCTAACCACGGTACCACCCAGCCAGATTGTGAGTAGAGGCCACCCTCACCACGGTACCACCCAGCCAGATTGTGAGTATAGACCACCCTCACCACGGTACCACTCAGCCGGATTGTGAGTAGAGGTCACCCTCACCACGGTACCACTCAGCCGGATTGTGAGTAGAGGTCACCCTAACCACGGTGCCACCCAGCCGGATTGTGAGTAGAGGTCACCCTAACCACGGTGCCACCCAGTCGGATTGTGAGTAGAGGTCACCCTAAGCACTTGCTGCAGCGTTTTGTAGCAGAGTTTTGCACCTTGTGCACATGCAGGACTGGCTTTTTTGTGGTCTACCAGGTCAAGACCACTGAGCTATTACCTCTTTTTCAGAGGCGACCCCCGCCACACACGATGATCGCTCCATCGAAGCGGGTTATATCATCACGTGGGAATTTATAGCAGCATCGCAAAACAAAAATCGAATTATTTAAACCTAGGTTCTCTGTTCCCGGCTCGATGCCCACATTTCTAAACTGAAAACTAATTTCTTTAGAACTGCTTTTTCATGCTTGGTTTGTTGTACTTCCCCCGAATCTCCGATTTAGCACGGTTGGCTACGTACGGTGCGAAAGAAGTAGAATATACATGCGTACACATATACATTCATGAGCCCATTGAGCCATCCAGCCTCACTCCACCTTAGTATGTATAGCAAACACAAAGTATCGTGTTTTTTTTCTGTATATATATAAAACTAATGCATTCCAAACGAATAATCGTCAAACATGAAGTGCGAGTGTCCCCATGCTCAAATCAGCGATCGGAGGTCGCACTCGCCTCCATGCATCGCCCCCGAGCCATCGTAGGGAAATTCTGCATCGTTACGGTAGAGCCTTCTGTGACTCTCTCGGAATACCGCCGTTGCCTTCACACAAAGTTTATCTCATTTTAGGTCCCTGGTTGAAATGCCGCATGCCTCTCACCACAGTGCTGCCTGGTCAGACCCACTGCAATCGCACAATGCAGTACAATTTGGCTGCATATGGCGTTTAAATGCGACTGCATGTCAAGACGTATAAAACAGTGGGGGCTTCCCTACATAGAGAAAGAGTCAAGCATCGGCAGTGATGATAATCGCATTCATAGTTTTGTGTGAATGCACGAGATTCATGGCAACTCCTACAGGTGGACGTTAACAATCTCCGTTTCGCCGAGATAATGATATTAAATTTTGATTTAAAGCTTTCGTGACTGCAGGGATTCATATTCTTGGTTCTTTCGGTAAAGTCACGTAGAACGGGGTTTTTATATTTTGTATTATTTTATTGTTTCCCTTCAACGTGACTTTACCGAAAGAACCAAGAATATAATATTAGTTGTGGTGAAGGTAACATGAAAACATTGTAACAGATGGGCCACCGTGAGATTACCATCGCAGACCCACAAACTCTCCTGAAGCCCTTGCGTCTTCACCAGCTCACCCCTACATTGGTATCTCGCTCCTGAACGTATTGCAAGAATAGCATGGTGGACATTACAAATGCTATTACGTTCTATTTTTATTTACCAGATAAGGCCCACTGAGCTATCTTTTTCACAAGTGACCTGGCCACACATCATACAGTGAGGGAAAAAAAGTATTTGATCCCCTGCTGATTTTGTACGTTTGTCCACTGACGAAGAAATGATCAGTCTATAATTTTGATGGTAGGTTTATTTGAACAGTGAGAGACAGAATAACACCAAATACATCCAGAAAAAAGCATGCCAAAAATGTTATAAATTGATTTGCATTTTAATGAGGGAAATAAATATTTGACCCTCTCTCAATCAGAAAGATTTCTGGCTCCTAGGTGTCTTTTATACAGGTAACGAGCTGAGATTAGGAGCACACTCTTAAACGAAGTGCTCCTAATCTCAGCTTGTTACCTGTATAAAAGACGCCTGTCCACAGAAGCAATCAATCAATCATATTCCAAACTCTCCACCATGGCCAAGACCAAAGAGCTCTCCAAGGATGTCAGGGACAAAATTGTAGACCTACACAAGGCTGGAATGGGCTACAAGACCATTGCCAAGCAGCTTGGTGAGAAGGTGACATCAGTTGGTGCGATTATTCGCAAATGGAAGAAACACAAAGAACTGTCAATCTCCCTCGGCCTGGGGCTCCATGCAAGATCTCACCTCGTGGAGTTGCAATGATCATGAGAACGGTGAGGAATCAGGCCAGAACTACACGGGAGGATCTTGTCAATGATCTCAAGGCAGCTGGGACCATTGTCACCAAGAAAGCAATTGGTAACACACTACGCCAAGAAGGACTGGAATCCTGCAGCGCCCGCAAGGTCCCCCAGCTCAAGAAAGCACATCTACATGCCCGTCTGAAGTTTGCCAATTAACATCTGAATGATTCAGAGGACAACTTGGTGAAAGTTTTGTCGTCAGATTAGACCAAAACGAAGCTCTTTGGCATCAACTCAACTCGCCGTGTTTTGAGGAGGAATGCTGCCTATGACCCCAAGAACACCATCCCCACCGTCAAACATAGAGGTGGAAACATGCTTTGGGGGTGTTTTTCTGCTAAGGGGATAGGACAATTTCACCGCATCAAAGGGACGATGGACGGGGCCATGTACCGTCAAATATTGGGTGAGAACCTCCTTCCCTCAGCCAGGGCATTGAAAATGGGTCGTGGATGGGTATTCCAGCATGACAATGACCCAAAACACACGTCCAAGGCAACAAAGGAGTGGCTCAAGAAGGTCCTGGAGTGGCCTAGCCAGTCTCCAGGCCTTAATCCCATAGAAAATCTGTGGAGGGAGCTGAAGGTTCGAGTTACCAAACGTCAGCCTCGAAACCTTAATGACTTGGAGAAGATCTGCAAAGAGGAAAAAATCCCTCCTGAGATGTGTGCAAACCTGGTGGCCAACTACAAGTAACGTCTGACCTCTGTGATTGCCAACAAGGGTTTTGCCACCAAGTACTAAGTCATGTTTTGCAGAGGGGTCAAATACTTATTTCCCTCATTAAAATGCAAATCAATTCATAACATTTTTGACATGCGTTTTTCTGGATTTTTTTGTCATTCTGTCTCTCACTGTTCAAATAAAGCTACCATTAAAATTATAGACTGATCATTTCTTTGTCAGTGGGCAAACGTACAAAATCAGCAGGGAATCAAATACTTTTTTCCCTCACTGTAGCTCAATGAAGTGGCTTCTCGTGTTGAAATTGATAGCGGCCAAATACTCTGAACCAAATAAATTCACACGACAAGCCCTTTGTATTCTGGTGTCGTAAGATTCACAACTCAAACAAAAGGTCCAGATTTAAATAAATGAATCTGCAACTAAATTTATGGGGTCTATAAAGCATATCCAGATCGTTGTTTCGTACCTTTGGTTACCAACGAGTCTTAATAGATGCAAGGGGCTATCACCTGTGAGGGTTATTTTCACCCTTGATGGGATTTTAAAAAATAACAGTGCAGAACAAAGCACACCCGAAAGTACATAATAACAAGACATGCCGTGTGATTGAACGTGCCATGATTTGCTCGCATTCAAAGGTGATAAACTTTATACATAGGTCGTGTAGGGTTAACGTAATTTTGTTTTTACTATACCCCTCCACCACCCATC